CATTCTACACGTTACAACAGCTGGTGGCACAGATCTGGACAAAAGGCTGTGGACATGGCTGAATAAAAGCTCATGTGCACTTACTCATTTAGATGATTCAGAAAGGTGCTCAAAAATGTAAGCGAATCTTTTTGAAGTCAGAGTTTACACAAACACTAGCGATGCCTCTTTCTTTAAACCACAGAGTTAATGTGTGAAAGGGCCACAGTTTGGGGCCCTTTAAGAGTCTTAGTAATATATTTACACTGCCTGTGCTGACATGGTTTTCTTATCCCAGCCAGATTTTTTTTGATACATCAATATTAATGGCAAGTTATGGCTTGTTAAAGGTTGTTGGGTAAATACTGTTGCTGGTGTTGGCATTTGGCAGAACGTGGGAGCTTGTATGAACTGATTCTCAAGTAGCAAATCCCAGCTGAACACACATTCACACACAGAGTTGTCCATGGGATCATTTCAGCCAAAGTCACTCCCTGCTCTCCAAGACTTGGCTTGATATGAGGAGGGCCCCCCAGCATTGTTGTTTCTGTGGCAACTGAGCGTTCCACTATGAACAGTTTGACTTTTTGCACAACTTTTAGTGCAGCACGTTGACTATAGTTCATGCATTCAGGGAAGAATTGCTTCTAAACTGGTTTTGCTATCTTTAAAAGAGGAGGGGGAAAAGAATATGTTTATTTGCATGGTTTTGTTTATTGTATAAATATGAATAATCCTTAAATGCAAGCTAGAATTGATAGAATTCAGCCTGTGAGGAGGAGGAGCCTGGTCAGGTGTCAGCAGACCGGGGGTGGCCAATCCCAGGTTCATGAGGGCCGCTGCCCTGCTTGTTCTCTAACTATCCCTGCCATACCCACTGCTGATTACCTGGATCGGGTATGTTCAGTCAATCAGAAACTGGAAAATGCCATCTTAAATGAAGGTGGCGTGAGGAAAGACAAAGCGAATTGGTAGCTTCCAGCTTTTGATTGACTAAACACACCTGATCTATGTAATCAGCAGGGACAGTTGGAAAACAAGCAGGGCAGCGGCCCTCAAGGACCAGGATTTCCCACCCCTGCAGTAGACATTGAAACATGAAACGGGTGTGGACTATACTACACTGGACCTGCCCTGCCCTAGTCGGTGTAACCCTCAGTAAATGAAGCTGTAGAAACTAAAAAATGACTCATTACATAAGAAAAGTTACACGAAGGAAGCATGACCAGATAAACAAAGGTTTATTCTTCAGTTTTCCACCAACATTAGTTTCATGTTTGAAATATAAAACCAAAACAAGATGTCTTACTACAAATGCTCATTAAGTATAATCAAGCTCATGTGACACCTGAATTGGGGCATTAACATGAAGGGCACAAAGCAACGTGCATTCAGGATAATACATAAAGCCACTAACACTGTGGCAGAGATGGCCTTGACAGATGTAGCAGTATAACTGTAAACTAGAATAAGATACAGGTTAGCGTATCATGCATGCAGCAGCTCACAACAGGTAGACAAAGTAAAGTACACTTAAAGCAGGTGTTATGTAAGTGTGTTGATATCGTTGTGCAGTGACTCCTGGAGCAGTAGATTAGAATGTACTGTACTAGGATTGGGACCCCTCATTTTGAAGCAGGACACTTGTTCTGTGTCAGCAGTGGACGACTACAGTCCAGCTCCAGGTTTTAGTGTCTGCCAAAGTGGTGGTCCTCCCTGCTGTGTGTAATCATAGTGGGTTCCCATGTATTCTCATGCTAATCACAGTTTGGGAATAACGTTTTTGCAACACGACGTGCAGTTCTCAACAAGGCTCAGGAGCCAGGCTTCAGATCAACAATGAACCATCTTAGAATGGGTGGCGTTGTTTGAACCCACTGTGCGTGTGGTAGGGGCAGGGGTGCTTGTTTTTGAAGTACTGTAAGCAGCAGGTGGGTGAAGCCTCATCTTCTCCTTTCCCCCCTTTTGCCCTCTTTGTGTATGAGGCAGTGAAAATATAGTGCAATGAGAGTGCATGAGTTTTTACATTTTTTTCATAATGTTTAGTTTGTGTTTTTATGGCATTTCAGGTGCATTAGAATCCATGTAATTATTTAAATGAGTACACAAAAGAGTGTAAAATTTAGTTTTTCATCTATCTAAAACTTTTGAATGTCTTAAAAACTGAAGGAATGTTATGAGGACTACAAGGAGATGAGTCCAGAGAAAGTGGTGAATGTCCAGGTGCCTCTTACTTTTTTGGGTTTTGTCAAAACTTCATGCAAACAAGACAATGCATATCAACCATAAACCATACTGGGATTATTGCTAATCTCTGATCAAGCAGCCAGTTGTTTGTTCAACCTGATATAAACCCTTGATGACCTGTGCTAATGTATCACTTGCGACTGGAGTCATACAGGGTGTCTGATGATAAAGTGCTCTCCGGCTCACGTCATTCTGTAGCAATGAGGACACTCCCTGTTGTGACAGACCCAGAAATCCAGTCTGCTGCTAACTTTAAGATGAATGTAGAGCGTGATTCATACTGTGCAGCCATGTGAACTAAGAACTGGTTCCAACTTGAATCCATCTGCAAATTGTCTGATTTCTGTGAACTGTTCAGATTCCTTTTCTGAGAAGCAGCTTCAGTGACTCCTCTAACTTGGCTCAGTAGAACCCAGACTCTTCCCAGTGTGGAACTGGTGTGGAAAGAGCTGCTAGAGATACCCAGGTGACTCAGTGAACCTGCCTTTTAGAACGGGCCCCTCCCTTCTCTACACGAGTGATTCCACCTATTGAAGTCTGTGAACTACAGTGGTGTAAACACACAAAAATGATTGCTAAAGACTCAGATGGTATTGAAAACAAAATGTTTTTTCAATTCTTGTCCAATATTAATGATGGACAAGACACTGAGTGAAGGGAGTATTACAAAAATACTTTCAACAGCCCATGTAACCTTATATTAATGTTACATATGCTTTTATCTGTATAGCCCTCTGCCATGGCCCTGTCTCCCTGTGTTCAGAGGTTAAAAATTTCTTGGCTTTGGTCTTTTTAACGGCACAGCAGGCCCTCCATTGCTAATCATATTTCAGATTTTGAATTAGCGGCTTGATCATTAACTAGGCCGAGTGATTAGTTTCACTGATTGAAGGCTCACAGGTGTGTGATTCGACAGATACGGAGTGAGAACGGTGTTTTCCTGTTGGCTTGCTGAGTGACACAATCAGATCCTATTCCACTCTGAGAGTTTTATGTTACACCTATGGGCACCTGTGATTGTGTGTTTGGCAATTCAGTCTAGTGCAAACTCTCAAACTCAAGAGTCGGACAAAAAACTATTTTAGGATACATTCTGTCGCTAATGAATAGCAGTACTGTATATTAGATTTCAAATGACTGAAGTGAGTTGTATTTGAACATTTTCAAGCCTGGTGTGTGTGTGTGTGTGTGTGTGTGTGTGTGTGTGCGTGCAATTATGCAAATAAATGTGCTTCTATCATCTTTATAACACTTAAGAGAATAAAGAACGGTGGAATTCCATAGAAGTGGGTCAAAATCATGTGACCTCACAGGATAGTTATGAGGGAAATAGCTGCATATTTAAACATGCGAAGTGGAGCATGTGATCTGGTTGTGTATGTGTGTGTGTAGATGATCAAACATAGGAATGAGCCCTTTGATTCCAGTTAAATTTTGAGTCTGTTGTTTTTAGTTTCTTTGTATTATGTTTCTATATAACTTTTAAAACCCTTTTGGGAGCTACTTTCTCACCAGTGCTGGCAGTTGGTGAGGCGGCAGTGATGGATGTTGCAGAGATAGGGAAGAACTCCTTGCAGAAAGGTACAGGGAGAGAGAGAGAGAGAGAGAGAGAGAGGACACTACGGGAGAGAGGAGAAAAATCCAGTCACCACCAACTAAGATAGCAATTTCTTTTGTGTGATTTTAAACAAAAACTGTAGCAATATTGTTGCAATCTGGCCACGTGTGTGTGTGTGTGTGGCATATTAGTGTTTACAGGTTTCTGCATGGCGTAAGATGAGGGTAAGCAGAGTTAACTTTCTGACAGCATCTGCTCGAGGAGCGGGGGTTACGTCACACCAACACAGCCTGGCACATGCCAATTCTCCTCCTGAGATATTAAAGAGACTTAATACACAGTCTCCCACTGCTGCAGTGTTTCCCCTGCAGAGATTTATTTGTTATAGCTCCTCAAAATACCACTGATTATTTTAAACTAGCACAGTAATACATGGTCAGTCCTGTGTTGTGTGGACAGTATCCATGTTATGCTTATTAATACTTCTATCCCACTGCAGTACACAGAGAAATATTGTCCTTTTTCATCCATAATAATGGTTATCTTGTAGACTGAGATTTTATATACCAAATATAGCATATGCATATTTATTCTAAACAGCAGTATGTAAATTAGTTAAACCTACTTTTACAAAATTCATTAACATGCTGTTTACATATGAGTGCATAAAACATACAATAATATAACACTAAAAGGGACTGTTCTTCATAATGAATCATTTTAATAGTGAACGCAGTACACACAGTTCTGTTTCTTATCCCTCGCCAGTGCTGTTATCTCTCCTCCCACAGTCCTTCTCTACAGTCCTTCTCTAACTGCCGCTTCTTTAATGTCTGCCTGGCCCCTGAGAGCCTGTATGTCTGGAGCTGCTGTCACAGTCCATTGTGCTGCACACAAAGAGCCCGGGTCCACTCCAGTTTTGAGTCCATTCTTAAAAAGCAGCGGTGCGTGAACCAAGTTCTCCCTCCGGTTCCAAGCACCCCCAGAGATCAGCCCTCTGAGAGTGATAGCAGAGACATTGATCAAAAGCTATAGTCAGGCATGTTGAGCGTAATGGATGGATGAGGTGGGTGGCCAGTAGCATGTTGGGTTAGAATGAACGAGGATACAGGCCTTTTTTGTTCTTTCCCTCTTTAAATGTGATCATCTTCAGGATGGTGACTTTTTTTTGCTACAAGCTTTGTGTTTATGGCAACTTCCTGGGCTGTTTTTGCAGAGACGACACTGCTGTCTTTCCAACCCAAACCCTTGGACTCCACCCCAACCTCAGACTCGACCCCTGCCGCTGGTACGGGCGCCGAGCTGAGGATGCTGGAGAAGAGGTCAAAGGTCATTGAGGAGCTGCTGCAGACGGAGAAGGACTACATCAAAGACCTGCAGATGTGTGTCGAGGAGATCATCGAGCCACTGCAGAAGAAGCAGGTACATGTAGAGCTGTTGGAAAAACTGGGTGGGTGAAAGCCTGAAACACTAAAATAAGGGGATCTACATACTGTATGTTTTAATAAGGTTTAAAAATTGTAAGGGACAGTATCACTTTCACTTTGAGGTGCCAGTGAAACAGAGTTTTACAGAAAGAATAAAGGCAAAGAGCAGAAAGGAAAGAGTATACAGTGCCTTGCGAAAGTATTCGGCCCCCTTGAACTTTGCGACCTTTTGCCACATTTCAGGCTTCAAACATAAAGATATAAAACTGTAATTTTTTGTGAAGAATCAACAACAAGTGGGACACAATCATGAAGTGGAACGAAATTTATTGGATATGTCAAACTTTTTTAACAAATAAAAAACTGAAAAATTGGGCGTGCAAAATTATTCAGCCCCCTTAAGTTAATACTTTGTAGCGCCACCTTTTGCTGCGATTACAGCTGTAAGTCACTTGGGGTATGTCTCTATCAGTTTTGCACATCGAGAGACGGAAATTTTTGCCCATTCCTCCTTGCAAAACAGCTCGAGCTCAGTGAGGTTGGATAGAGAGCGTTTGTGAACAGCAGTTTTCAGTTCTTTCCACAGATTCTCAATTGGATTCAGGTCTGGACTTTGACTTGGCCATTCTAACACCTGGATATGTTTATTTGTGAACCATTCCATTGTAGATTTTGCTTTATGTTTTGGATCATTGTCTTGTTGGAAGACAAATCTCCGTCCCAGTCTCAGGTCTTTTGCAGACTCCATCAGGTTTCCTTCCAAAATGGTCCTGTATTTGGCTCCATCCATCTTCCCATCAATTTTAACCATCTTCCCGGTCCCTGCTGAAGAAAAGCAGGCCCAAACCATGATGCTGCCACCACCATGTTTGACAGTGGGGATGGTGTGTTCAGGGTAATGAGCTGTGTTGCTTTTACGCCAAACATAACGTTTTGCATTGTTGCCAAAAAGTTCGATTTTGGTTTCATCTGACCAGAGCACCTTCTTCCACATGTTTGGTGCGTCTCCCAGGTGGCTTGTGGCAAACTTTAAACGACACTTTTTATGGATATCTTTAAGAAATGGCTTTCTTCTTGCCACTCTTCCATAAAGGCCAGATTTGTGCAGTATACGACTGATTGTTGTCCTATGGACAGAGTCTCCCACCTCAGCTGTAGATCTCTGCAGTTCATCCAGAGTGATCATGGGCCTCTTGGCTGCATCTCTGATCAGTCTTCTCCTTGTATGAGCTGAAAGTTTAGAGGGACGGCCAGGTCTTGGTAGATTTGCAGTGGTCTGATACTCCTTCCATTTCAATATTATCACTTGCACAGTGCTCCTTGGGATGTTTAAAGCTTGGGAAATCTTTTTGTATCCAAATCCGGCTTTAAACTTCTCCACAACAGTATCTCGGACCTGCCTGGTGTGTTCCTTGTTCTTCATGATGCTCTCTGCGCTTTAAACGGACCTCTGAGACTATCACAGTGCAGGTGCATTTATACGGAGACTTGATTACACACAGGTGGATTCTATTTATCATCATTAGTCATTTAGGTCAACATTGGATCATTCAGAGATCCTCACTGAACTTCTGGAGAGAGTTTGCTGCACTGAAAGTAAAGGGGCTGAATAATTTTGCACGCCCAATTATTCAGTTTTTTATTTGTTAAAAAAGTTTGAAATATCCAATAAATTTCGTTCCACTTCATGATTGTGTCCCACTTGTTGTTGATTCTTCACAAAAAATTACAGTTTTATATCTTTATGTTTGAAGCCTGAAATGTGGCAAAAGGTCGCAAAGTTCAAGGGGGCCGAATACTTTCGCAAGGCACTGTATTTACATGCAAACCAGTATGCTAATGTTGAGTCTTACCTCATACAGCATGTGTGATGTGACATTTACTGTACATAGAGCATAATGAAAACTGGTTACTCAGCTTTCTTCACTGTGTAATTGAGATGAGTTCCGGAGGCACCTGTGAACATGACTGAGAACGGCAGAATCCTGCAGTAGGTGTTTGCATACCACAGTGTGATGGAGTGCTCCAGCTAGTATTACAGGTTCTCTCATACAATTCCTGGAGTAATTATGGCTAAGAATGAAGAATATGGTGTTTCCATGCACAAAACATGGCCATACTCCAAGAAAAACCAAAACATATTGTGTTTCAGTGCATATCACTTAATGGCACAGATGAACTGTTTCAACACTTCTTTTTGTTTCCTGAAGATGAAGAATGTGGATTTTGACGGGCTCTTTGGCAACATCGCCTCTGTGATCGACCTGTCCCAGCACCTGCTTGAAATGCTGCAGGAGACAGACTCGATTGGTGAGCAGCCATATATATTTTTTATTTTTTTACAACAGTCTAACCAGGGAGCTTCTTGCTCATGATGTGCTTTGTACTTTGTTTCGCTATAAACTGCTACCGAATCATAGTTGATTGGTTGAGTAAGATGCATTTTAAAAATAGTCACCATTACAGGAAGCAAACTGAAAGATAATGCTATGAAGTAATGCTTGATTTATTGTTGTTTTTTGTCTTTGCCAACTGACCGGATTTTACTGTGTTTTTAAATAAACACATGGTCTGATGTTTCTCTAACCTGTGCTCCTAGGAAAGATATTTCTGGATTTCAAAGGCGAGCTGGAGGAGGTATACAAGATCTACTGCCAGAACCATGACGACGCCATCTCGCTGCTGGAGAGCTATGAGAAAGATGAAAACATCCAGCGCCACGTGTTGGAGTGTCTGGAGAGACTGAGGTGAGTCGGAGAGAGGAGAAACAAATTGTCTGAACACAGTTATTTAAGATCATTCACCTATTTGCAAGTGAGTGGCCAAAGGTGGATATGTGTGTGTGTGAAAACAAAGCAAGAGTGCCCACTAATATGAAGATGCAGTTTGAGCAAACCATGAACTTTAAAAAAAGCTGTTGATCATTTGTTGGTAGAGTTCAGTAAGTGAAACCATAACGGGAACAGTATTGTTACTCTTTCAAAGTGAAACTAGATCGGCACACACTGGACTTTGGCTTAAAGTTTTGTTGTAGTATAATAATTTTTCTGTTGTCACCATTTGTGTTTTAAAAAGGTTTTTATTTCGTTCACGGCAACAGCAGACTTTTCTGTACGCTGAAATTCACATGAATTAATTTTTTAGTAACTTTTTAGTAGACTTTGAACTTTGTTGTGGCCAAGTACATTCACAGTCGAAACTTAATGCCATTTGTCTGTAATGATACTTTGACCTCCTTCCTGGTCTGGTGTGTGTGTATGTACTAGCTCATAGTGTTTCAAATACTGTGTGTGGAGCAGTCAAAGAATGTGCCCTACCTGGTTTCACTGAGTCAGACACACTGTTGCATTTCTGTAAAATATATAGCCAACCATCTTTGTTTGAAGACAAATATGGTTTTGTTAAAACAGAGGCTTTAGATAAACAGGCAGTAGTTCCAAATACAAATCTACATCAACAAAGGGATTAAACACTGACAACTCTCGATCGCTTGTAGTTGCATTTGTATTAAATTAAAAGACAGTTTTCTCGTTATTTTCTAAATGAAGTTGGCAGCATCTTTAGGATCATAATAGTGTTTATGTGTGTGTGTGTTGCAGCGTACTCGGCTTCGAAAAAGGTCATGTGTGCTGCTATCTTTAAGCAGCTTCAAGTTTTACTGCTACACTGGGCCTTTGTCCAGATCCAAGAGAGAATTCATTAAACAAAACCATAACAACCACAAATGCAGCTGGTGTGACTGTTTTATTGACTTAGCAAAGTTCAAGTGAAGTTCTGTGGCAACATCCTTGAACATGTACAACAGAGTTTAAGATGTTTAAGTCAACTCATAGATATGTCTTATCTTTTTTATCTCTTTCCATCCTTGCCTTCAACAGGGCCATGTATCGAGAGTGGTAAGTCTGCATAACGAGTGTTGTCACAATTTCCGGCATGAGAATCCTCTTGACCGCATGTGTGTTGCTCACTAACCCCCTTGGGAATCAACTCTGTGTGTGTGTGTGTGTGTGTGTGTGTGTGTGTGTGTGTGTGTGTGTGTGTGTGTGTGTGAGATAGCTAAAAATCACAATGGCCTCTGAGTGTGGAAGACTTTAAAGCATCTGTGCTAGCCTTTTAATACCACTTCATTTTCCTTCCCCGGATTGAGATGGACTCATTGGTATTGTTTGTGTTTGCATGTGCATCTGTACAGTATGTTGAATACTATTGATGTGAAGAGCAATATTCAACATGCGCATGGCTCCTTCTCTTCCCTTCTCATATGGATAAGCAAAAAAACATCCTGGGAAACACAACTAATGCCATCTTCTGGACTAAAACAGCAACAGATGTAATTAAACTAATTTCTAAAATAATAAAAAAACTATAAGATCTGTCTGGAGAAAATCTGGTATGCAAAATTCCATCTATATAAACTGTATAAATAAATTTAAAATGTATATTTTATTTAATTCAATCTATTCTTATATTTATATTTTATGTATATTATAAATGTATATATTAATTAAAGCTGAATTTGGATGAAAGCTTGAGCCACAATTATACACCTGAATTGTTTGCAGGTCTTAAATTTATTCACTCCGCTTGAGTTTGAGCTGTTTGTCCTCTAGATTGCATTAGAACTAAGCAAATCAGCAGTTCATCATGAGAATATGTGATTGTGGTTGCATGTTATTGGGTCATACTATTCACATGATACAGAGATGTGTTACGTGAACATGAGAAGAATTGGAGTCCGTAGCTGTGACTGTGTGCTTCACTCTGGTTTGTGGTGAAGTACACTCTGGTGTACTTCTCTCGTGCTTCACACATTATCGTTACATTTCTCAGCCAAACACTATCTGCTGTTTCGGCCTCTTTTTCAGGGGGAAAACAAACTACATCAACCTGGGCTCTTTCCTGATCAAGCCTGTGCAGCGTGTGATGCGGTACCCCCTGCTGCTGATGGAGCTGCTGGGCGCAACACCGGAGAGCCACCATGACCGGCCCCAGCTGACTCAGGCCCTGCAGGCCATCAAGGAGATCAACGTCAACATCAACGAGTACAAGCGAAGGAAAGACCTTGGTAACGCTCCTCACAACCTTTTGTTCTTACTGTTTTACCAGTGCATACAATATGTGTAACCTCGGTCTCAGTGTTAGGTGTTTTACTGCCAAGACTGGGTTTCCTGTCTCAGGTTTTCCCTCTGCTGTCCACAGTGGTGAAGTACAGGAAAGGTGACGAGGATACATTCATTGACAAGATCTCCAAGCTGAGCATGCACTCCATTATCAAAAAATCCAACCGAGTCAGCAGCCACCTCAAGCAGCTTACAGGAATTTCACTACAGGTATGAGTGAAGTTGTTAACCCAAGTGAAAGTTCACATTAAGGTGAGACTCTGAGTGTTCTGAATGAAAGCATGTTGGCTTTATCCTCTGTCTGTGTTCTGTTTCTTTTCCCAGATTAAAGATGAAGCATTTGATGAGACTGAGAAGAAGTTCAGGGAGCAGGAGAGGCTCATTAAATCTTTCATCAGGAACATCTCCTTATACCTGCAGCACATCAGGGTAGGAGCCTATAATTAGATATACATACATGTGCCTTTTTTAATTTCAGCAGAAGTGCAGTATTTCTTTGTATTTTTTAGCATAACAACATAAAACACTAAAGGTAATGGGTCACATTTCCTGCACCATAGAAGAGGTGAAAGTAACCAAGTAAATTTACTGAAATACTATACTTAATATTTTGATACTTGAGTATTTTAATTTTGTGCTACTTCATACTTTGACTTCACAACATTTTAGAGACCAATATTCTACTTTTTACTCCATTACATTTATTTTATAACTTCAATTACAAGTTACGTTTCAGAATCAAATTAGAACAAAATACAGTATAATCATGACTTTATTGATACCTGGTGGGAAATTCATAAGGTACTCATCAGAACTTTGAATTATAAACAGTACTAGGTACTTAAATTATGTAGCTCCACCTTTACCAGATGCAACATTAAATGTACACAATAATACATTAGTAATTATAATCCAACTGTAGCCTATAATCTACAGCAATGTGAAATGTGTTCTTCTGCATAATGGGTACTTTTACTTTGGGTCCTTTTACTTGTAACAGTTTTTTTACACTGTGGTATTGCTATGTTTACTTGAGTAAAGAGGCCGAGTACTTCTTCAACCTCTGGTAATATGATTATTAAACATTTTAATGGTGAAAGTACTAAGGAATACTATTTTATTTAATGCTTCTGTTCATTACAATAGTAATGTAAAATGATCATACAAGAGGAAAAAGATTCATGGATTAGCTGCCTAATACATTTTCTTTTATGAAATTAATTGGTATATTGTAGTAACCATGAAGATTGTTGTAGTATAGTGGTTTGGGGTTGTAATTGTGAAAATCCATCTTTTCAGGAATCGGCATCTGTGAAGGTCTTGGCAGCCATCAGTTTCTGTGACATCTACACAGAGCACAGTGTGCTGGACCCCGAACACTTCCAGAGAGCTCATCGCTGCATCAGTGACAAACAGTTTACACAGTTTGTAAGTTCTCTTCTTTGTTTATTCTAACTTGGCTACTGTAAAAACAAAAACCATTGGGAGTAACCACATCACATTATCTGTCAACCCTCTTACCTTCTGAGTAGAAGGAGCGCACAGAGGCCTTAGTCATCAACCCGCTCACCCAGCTCCTCCTCATGTTTGCTGGGCCGCACAAACTGATCCAAAAGCGCTTTGACAAGCTGCTGGACTATGACAACTGCAAGGAGCGAGCTGACCGCCTCAAGGATCGTCGCATCCAGGATGAGCTGCAGGCAGCGCGTAACAACTACGAGGCGCTCAACGCCCAACTTCTGGATGAGCTCCCCAAGTTCCACAGTGCAGCAGAGGAGCTGTTTATAGGCTGTGTGAGGGCCTTTGCTCAGGCCCAGAAGGACTTCATGAAGCTGACACTGGGAGAGCTGAAGCCCCTCCTGCAGGCTGTGAGTGGGTCTTTGTTTATGGGGCTTTCAAAGGCAACGGATGACTGAAGTCTTGACATTTTTTTTCATCATTATTACTTGTGAACAATATACATGTAAAATAATAATGCAGTTTTCCCATTGTGCCATTAATGCAGACCTTTCTTTTTACTTGAATGCAGTCTTCTAACAGATTTGGCACAGAGGGCAACCTGATTGCACAGTTCCAAGAAGAGTACGGTCGAGTTCTCCAACTTCTGCAGAGCTTTAGCTTCTGCCCAGAGAACCTGCCTCCAGCCACCACCACAAAAAAGCCCTTCGAGAAGAAGACTCTGGAGAAGCAGTCCTCTAAGCAGCAGCTGCAGGGACCTGTGAGTGAAACTCTCATCCCATTTTTGCTATACCACATTTTAATTAACAATGCATGAGAAGATTCACAGTGATCTAACCATGAGTCTTGTATTTATACATCTATCAGCCCAACCACATCATGCAGACAGATGAGCACCGTGCAGGACTTCTGGTACGCTACGGCCCTGAGAAGCTTTTTCAGGCTGAAAGAAATTTTAATGCTGCCCAAGATCTGGATGTCTCAATATCAGAGGGAGACCTTGTGGGTGTAATCAAACAGCAGGACCCCATGGGCAGCAACAACCGCTGGCTAATTGATAACGGAGGTAGGTAATTTGTACTCTTAAGACCTGACTCAAAATGTTGAAACAGTCAGCCACATGTTTGTCTGAGCCTCCAGCAAAGGGGGGAAAAATGGTGCAACTATAAAATCTTATTTTCACATCTTACCCTTGCATCTCTTGTTTTGCAGTCACCAAGGGTTTTGTGTACAGCTCCTTCCTCAAACCCTACAACCCACGCAAGAGCCAGTCAAATGTGTCCATTGAGAGCCAGTCATCCAATGAGTCGGGCTACGGAGGCTCATCCCCGGTTTTCTCCCGCCAGAACAGCAGTAGTACACTGACCTTCAACCAGGAAACAGCCACTGTCAGCTTTTCCACATCACAGCCCCAGAGTCTCTCGTTGCCTCAGCCGTCATCAGATTCTGCCTCCTCTCGCAGGAGTCACCAAAGAGATGCACCTGACTCTGCCACTCAAAGCAATTCCATGAATTCCTCACCCCGAAATTCCTCCAACCGAAAGGAATTTTCAGACCAAGTGCAACCAAACTTCTCCAGTCACAGAGACACAGAGCCTTCGTACCGGCACTCAGGCAGTCACAGAGATTCGTATGATACGAGTTATGGAAGTTCGAGCAGTCACAGGGACACGCCAGACCTCTTGGAGACGGACACATCTTCACACAGAAACAATCGCTCGCAGAGGTATGGACACACGGACAAATCCTATAGTTCCTATGAGTGGAGAAATGGAAACAATGGAGGCCAGAAGAAGTCTTCTTACTCCAGAGATGAGTACACTGAGCCGGAGCCAGGGCCAGAACACGAGAGTGAATTAGATGGTCATCAGGTGAGATTTGCTTTGATTGCTAGGATGTATTCTGTGTTCATAGTCGGACACTTAACATAACCAAAACAAGGTCAAACAATGTATTTAAAGTTGAAGGTTTAACAGAGCTAAAAGACTCGTCCAAATTGCGTTTTCAGCTTGTTGTGCTGCCACCAAGTGAAAAAAAATAATGAAGACTGCTTTAAAACGCAAACTACGAATGTCATTTTAATGTTTTTCAGATTTACTACGCTCTCTACTCCTTCAAAGCACGTTGTGCCAATGAACTGAGTATCTCAGCCAATCAGCAGCTGCGGATACTGGAGTTCCAGGACATGAACGGCAACAGCGACTGGTGGCTGGGGGAGGCAGGAGGCCAACGAGGCTACGTGCCTTCCAACTACATCCGCAAATCAGAATACACATGAACAATGTGGCGGCTGATAGCTGAGACTGTACTTCGACATTAAGGAGGCCGACTCTGCGAGCCGACGGAACAAAAAGACGAACGAGCATCAGGACACACAGTGACTTGTTTCTGATCTGTTGTCATGGAGTTTGATAGTGAGGACTTACCTGCTGCTGAGTCTGTTAGCATTATATGCCTATATTTATACTGTTTATATTATTTTTACATACTGGAAACAGCACCCTACCCTCTCTCATTTCCAGAGAAAACTCTGAATTGCACCAGATTTTTACCATTTTCTCTGGGCCTGGTTCGCACACTGGGAGACTGCAATGGAAAGGTCCAGTATCCAAGGTCTAGCTGGTTATTGTAAACGAGTGATATGGACACAGTGACCTAAACACTGTGTTAATGACTTTTTTCTAAATGTGGTTTGTACACCACCAGACAGTTGCATGAATATGGCATGCATTTACAACATACTGTTTAAAGATCAAGGTTTGAGGCACTTATGATTATTCACTGTCTGTAGATTTGTAGCATTGGTGAAGCCATCAACAGGAATTTGGAGTGTTGTATGGAATTCATGTGATTATCTGAATTAAGACCAAGGATAAAGTTGAATGGCATATGAAATATTGTTTACAACCTGAAATCGTTTAGAACTGGTTTGACACTGTGCAAACTGGCTATAGCCAATTTTACCAGTATGAAGAGGTTAACGAACAGGAAGACAGAGACAGTGGTCTGGTCTTACTCTGATTTCACCACATGCTCCCTATGTACATTGTACATAGTGCTGCACATTGACAGTATGCTATTGCACCCACTGTTAAGTGATCACAGTTTGAATAAAAAAGAGACGGCTCAGCTGACAAGTTAACAGTGAATCAAAGATTTTTTTTTTCTTAACCTGAACTATATTAGTTTGCTGTGTATACCTACTTGGCTGCCCTGAGACATGTTTATTTTGGGAAGGAAAAGCGATGACATCTTAGTTTGCCTTGGAAATAAAAACACTTTATTTTATCAGTGATAAAACCAAGCAGTTACTCCCAGCCCAGCTTTGGGTTCAATAGACATTTGCTGACCCTGCCAGACAAAATGTAGATCACACCTTTCAGTAAAGCTATACCTCTTCCTCACTGAGCCTAGCTCAAAGTGCATCAGATTATCAGACGTGTCTGCGCCTTGTTCGGTTTAACATGAATCACACAGTATGTCCTTGACTAAAGATTTTTTTTAAAATCTGCAGTGCTAGCAGTCTCTGGTTCCAGATACACCATCTCAGTGTACAAAAACAAAATGCTGCCTTTCCATGTGGCATTTGACTTTTTTTCCTGAAACAATCTGAATTCAGTTGTTTTTGCCTGATGTTGAACACAGTTCTTCACATCAGAGGTTTTGACACAGTGTCAGTGCTTTTTGTCTGAATTCCCTTCTGTTAGCTACATACATAGACAATCCTTTTAACAAACACAACGAGTCCTGTCCCAGTTCAACATGCTTAATCCCTTTCTAAATAATTTAAACTATATTTTACCATTCATTTTGCACCTACAATAGTTCTGTATGACATTGGTGTGAATCCCATGCAACTACAGAATCACAACAGTTAAAACACCCCCTGAAAATAAACCATTCAGTAAAAATTCACCTCACCTTCTGAAAGTTAATGATCTACGCTTCTTTTATCGCAGCAGCTTTACCAGACATGGATGTCCTGACTGTGTTCTGGGGGGCAGGTGATGATGAGGTGGTGCTGGACTTCTTCTCCATGGATCTGAATGAAGTTGTGGTGGCGGACTTTTGCTGGACAGAATGGATGGTCTTCTTCCTCTTGACATGCATAACTTCCTTGGCGTCCAAGTTGACTCCTCGGTGAACCTCGTCACTGGTTTCCACCTGCTCCGAACTCTGCTGCTGCTGCTGCTGCTGCTGCTGCTCCATCATCTGCTGCTGGTAATGCAGCTGAAAGAAGGAGGTGGAGGAAGTCAACCACTTTTAAAAAAACCTGCACACCTGTTTATCCTGTATACAAAAAGTTGATCTACAGTTCATTAATAGAATTGACTTTCAGTGTTCCCTCACCATCATCATGTTCTGGTACTTTGCGATAGCTTCTTCTGTGCTGACTCCCTCAGCCAGCCCTAGCTCAGCAGCCCGGCGTGCGAGCTCAACCTTATGGGAGCCAGGAGGGGTCCAGCCCACTCCTCGCATCGAGTTCAGATCTGACTTGTAATTCACCTGCAACACAAAGACGCGATAATTACAGCAGTACACTGATACCATGGGGAAGTGGGCCTACAAAACAAGTACTTGAATGTAGTGGAATTTTCCTCTACCTCAATTCTAAGTACCTTGAGAGCCAGATTAATCTGTATCAGACCTCTGGCTCCCTATTTATTATTCTTATAGTGTAAAAAAAAAGGTGATTTTTATAAGTTATAAATATTTTAAATCAATTATGTATAGTGAAATATATGTACTGTACTATATGAATATATGATTCATGGTCCCTCTATGAGGACACCAAGCCTGGGTAAACATATGGGGCCAAAACTATCATTTTATCTTTCTATTTCTTTCCGTAGTGGTGCATATTACCCCCAAAATGTATAAGTAATCAAGTTCCCATAAAGTAACAGCTATACAGAACATTCAGGACCATTGTGGGCAGTTGTTCCTCATTAAAGCTGCATAATTTGAAGAATGCTTCAGTGTTGTACGCAAAGAAATAGTGAATAAAATGGTGGTACTGGCTGTAGCAAAGCCATTTGAAGAAACTTTCACCTCTGTACTGAATTTGCGCATTGACTTACATCACTCTGCAGCTTGTAGGCCTGCTTTGCATGCTTTAGATTGAGCTGTTCAGGGTCACAGGTGTAGTCGTGGAGCTTGCGGCGGTAGGTGACATCACTAGCCTGAGCCTGACTCTTTTTGGCTTGCAGGAACTCGGGCTGGTCAGCATGCATTCTATACTGGCCACGCTCCTCCTTGGACTGCCGTTTATACTCCAGGTTGCTCTGCAGTTTGCTGGCTGCCAGAGAGTGCACCATCTTAGGGTCATCCTCCACGCAGCGCAGCCCTACCTGCTGGCCCTTCTCCTTCAGATGGGACTGCTTGTAGCGAAGCTTTGGGAGGGAGAAGGAGACATGGTTTCAGACAATTTTTACAGCTCCATTAAATTTGTTGTGACTTAATTTTGCTTAATTTCAGGATTAAGAGGCCTTAGGCCTTCACAATGTTTTGTTGCATCGCTTCAAAAATGTTTCAACCTCTTCACAAACAGCTATCACATGAACTCACATCACTAGCAATTTCTCTGGAGGCCCTGGCAGTTTGGAAGGGAATAGCATCCAGCTTTAGGTCATAGCCCAATGTCTTCACATGCTCCCCAGACGCCTTGTAAACTTTCTTCATGGTAAATGTTGGAAACAAGAAATGTCACATAGAAACAGTGGCATCTTCCCATGAGGATTTTAAATCATTTACTTAGATTTAGGATTGTGAGAAATATCCAAGTGCCTTACATCACTGATGTGCTGGGCATTAATCTTGGCTCTGACAAAGTCGGGATCGTCTGGGTGTAAGGTGTACTTATGCATGTCATCATTCTTTCCAGATTTGTACAGCCTCTGCAACAGAAAAGACAAAGATGTAACCGAGATATCGACATTGTTT